TCTATTACTTTAGTAAGCAAATAAATCAAATGAATTTCCTATTAGTATAACTCTGCATATTAAGACACTACATATACCTTACTGAATGGTATATTGGCTTGCAAGTAAATTTCTAGACTAAAGATCCTAGAAGGCACAAAATAGTGTGAACATCCTGGGAATAAAATTGGACTCTGGCTGCCCTTGTCTCATCGTGGCTAAGATGTGCAAAAATTGACCATTACTGTCCTTACCATTTAGTAGACAATGTGAAAAGGTTGATAACCAAATCTACTCATCTACTATTCTACTGAAAAATAATTTTTAAAAACTGAAACTGATTAATGCCATAAGGTCTATGGATTTATCTGATCATTACTGTGTTTTTAATCAAACAAATATTTATTACAGACATAAGACAGTATTAAGAAGGGTGGAATACAAACAATAATTTTAAAAGCTAAAAAACTTTTTAAAAAATATAAAAACAAAAATATTTTTTTAAAAATCTATAAAAAGGTTTTAAAACACTAAGCAAACACAAAACCCCCATAAAAGTTAATATATGGTTAAGTAAACCTATCAAAATACAAAAAAACCCTTAACTAATAAATATATTTTATATCTTTTAACTTTTAAAATTATTATTGTATTCTACCCTTTTAATGTTAGTCCGTGATTGCAATAAAGATTGATAACTGAACATCATGTGGAAATCATGGGAATGTAAAAGTAGCAAATACCATAAACTAAAAAAATAAAAATGAAAGAAAAACAGATGTATAATAAAGGAGAAGGTTGTAATAAATATGACCAAATCTGGTTTGATCTTGCGGAGCAGAGCTGATTAATCTTGCAGAGTTGATGAATACATGTAGAGAAGTGAAGCTGTAGGCAATTTATAAATAAAAGGACTAAAATATGTGTCAGAAAAAGCAAACTGGTGTTCAAGAAAACAGGAATCCATAGGCTGGTGACAGCTACAAATTATGCTCCAGTGCGTAACAATATCAAACTGCTTCTCCCCACATTGTTACATGGAAGCAAGAGTTGGATATGTCAGAAAAAAACATAAAAGTAAATGGAATACAATGGAAATCAGTTATTTTAAAAGGGTTTGGTAATTAATCAGTGCTGGATTTAATACAGAAGCGAAATGAACAGTATGAAAAAAAGAATGGTGTAGCAGTCTGATTATGCAGAGAGAATGAATGAGAATGAAATCACAATACAAGGAAAAATGGATCTTGAAAAAGAAAGAAACTGAAAAAATCGTGGTTGTTTGGAGTTAATAAACCCCTTAAGAGAGAAAGTTATCTGTTTTATAGGGAGATGCAATTCCAGAATCCTGGAAAGAGACCAATATTGTTAACAAAAGAACAAGACTTAACCTCCACTATAGGCCAGTTTCCTCACTGAATAATTATAAATGATTCAGATCAATTATAGTCTACAGATTTAAAATGTTTTACAAGATTTTATTTACTTTATTCAATGTGGATTTTTACTTAAAAGACAGTTAAAAGAGAATATGAGAACTGTATTGGATGTAAGAATACTGCAAGATAACATAAAACTAGCCACATTAATCTTAGATGCAGAGGAAACGTTTAATAATTTGAATTGGACTTTTTAAAAATTGAAATTCTGAAAGATATGAACTTTGGCAAATCCTTTATTCAAGGATTCAAATTGATACATATGCCTCAGAAGGGTCCAATTATGGTTAAAAGTGGTTTCACTAAACCATGTCATCTCCAGAAGGGGGCAAGGCAAGATTGTCTTTTGTCCCCTTCGTTGTTGTTTATTTTGATTCTTGAAGTGTTGAACAGATAAGGCAAGAAGACAACGGACTTAAAAAAGAAAACAGAATTTTAAGCTGAGGGCGTTTAGGGATGATTTGGCTTTGATTTACAAGTTCCTTGGGAAGGGGTTCAGTTATTGCTAAAAAATATGGTGGGTTTTGGTATTCTATCAGGTTTTAAGATTAATAATAAAAAACAAAGATGTTGGTAAAAATATGAAGTTATAAGATCAGAAAATCTAATAAAAAAGTAGTCTTAAAATTGAGAAAAGTGTTTTGGGTGTTACTTGACTAATATTAAGTAATTGTCCACTTGAGTTCTAGTACAGGGGTAATCAACCTTTTGGATCTCAGGGACCACCAAACTCATAATTTTAAATCCCATGGGAAAATCCCAAAAAATGTTTGCAGGAAAATTCCCTACCCTGTTCTCCTACCGATCGATCATTCTTTATTTGGGATCGCAGGAGATCGTCTCCAGCTCCATCTTCAGGAGGAGACAGAGACTTTTGGCTTCATGCAAGGAAAGCAGCAGAAGTCTTTCTTTCTTTTCCCCATACTCCACCAGAAATGAGTCTTTACCGGCACAGCCTCTTGGAGGAGGATGACTTGCAGGGCCCCAAAGACTCATTTCTGGCGGAAATTGGGGGAAAGAAAGACTTTTGCTGCTTTCCTTGCATGCAGCCAAAAGCAGAAGAAGAAAGATGTGAAAAGAAGCAGCCTGGTGGCCAGGCAATATGCATAGGGCAAGTTCCCTCCTACCCACCTGCCCTCACTACCTTGTGTTGTTCACAATGCAAGTGATGCAAGTCTTGTGTTCCTGAAAGCCATGTGGGCAGCGCAGCCTTGTGTTCCTGCGCAGCCTGGATTTGGGGGGTGCTTTGGGGGTGACATTTCTCTGCGGACCACCAAAATTTTCTCGTGGACCACCAGTGGTCCCTGGCCCACTGGTTGGTGATCGCTGTTCTAGTAGACAATCACTTAAATATGAGCAGCAGTGTGATATAATTGATAGACTCAAGATCATTTGAAGTGTCAATACCATTTTATAATGCCCTGGTAAAACCACACTTGGAATACTGCATGCAGTTTTGGTCACAATAATGTAAAAAAAAATGTTGAGACTCTAGAAAGAGTGCAGGGAAGAGCAACAAAGATGATTATGGGACTGGAGGCTAAAATATAAAGAACAGCTGCTGGAATACAGTATGCCTAGTTTAATGAAAAGAAGGGTTGGTGGGGTGACATGATAGCAATGTTCCAATATCTAAGGACTGCTACAAAGAAAAAGGGGTCAAGCTATTCTCCAAAGCACCTGAAGGCAGGACAAGAAGCAATGGATGGAAACTAATCAAGAAGAGAAACAACCTAGAACTAAGGAGGCATTTCATGACAGTTACAACAGTTCATTGGTGGAGCTATTTGCCTCCAGAAGTTGTGGCTGCTCCAACACTGAAACTTTAAAGAAAAGATTGGACAACCACTTGTCTGAAGTGATATACAGCTTCCTGCCTGAGCAGGGAATTGGACAAGAACTTCCAACTCTGTTATTCTGTTAGAAGTAAGGAGAAATTTTCTCACAATGGGAACAAGTAATCAGTGCTTGTTTCCTGGAGTTGTGGGTTTGCCATCAGTGGAGATTTCAAAAATAGACAAGAAAATCCTTTGACTGGAATGATACAAGGTCTCTTGCCTTAAGCAGGGGGGTGGACTAGAAGACCCCCAAGGCCCCTTTCAGCCCTATGATTCTATGTTCTACCTATGTTCTAATATGAATTGTATGCCTAGTGTACATTGGAGTTGGATGGCCATAATAAATTTAAATAATAAATCCTACATGCACACTTTTGGTCATTTGTTTTGCTATTAGAACCTTAGGGCTTTGTTTCTATTATTGTTATTTGTCTTTATTAAATTTGCTGATTGATTTTTTTTCTTTCTAAAAAGGTCAGTATATATTGGTCTGACATTTAACTATTTATTAGTCTTTTTTTTTAATCTGTCATTTTTCCTTTCCATGCATTATTTTGATTGGAGGTTTGCACTGAAAGAAACAATCACAAACTTTAATTAATTAATTAATTAATCAAAATAAACTTCAAAGAGATGGTAAAACTCTCTTTGGAACGCAGGTGTACCTGTGAATGTTGGGGTGAGAGGCTTCCATGGCTGAAAGTTCATTTTCTTGCTAAGCAGCGAAGATTTTTTTAATGCAGGAATAATGAAATCCCTTATTTCAAAAGGTGAAAGCTCACAGACATTCTGTCCCAGTGAGAACCAGCTAGATTGGTACTCATCATTATTGGGCTCCGGGTGGTGTGATGAGTACGAACAACAATCAGTACCAAACAAACTTTTCTCATAAGAAATAATGCAGTGACCCACCAGGCAGCCAACAATGATGAGTTCCAACGTGCATTGAGTACAAAACAAGTGATGAGCACCAGGATGTTCATATCAAAATTCACTGAGTACCAAATTCAATGAGTTTCAAAGTAATTGAGTACAAGATACCACTGTACTTGGCTGTTCAGCATGCAGAATGGATATCTAATTCTTCCGTAACTTAACGTACTTCTTACTGTTGGCCTACTCCTTTCCTATCAAGTACAGTAGGCAATACATATCTAACATCATGTAAGCCTATGTTTCTCAACCTCAGCAACTTTAAAAAGTGTGATCTTCAACTCTCAGAATTCTCCAGACAGCATGAAAATGAGAAACCCTAATGTAAGGGAAAACAGATTAAGAAGCCTAGGTTTTAGATATTGATGCCACTGCATGCATTTTATAGTGATACTGCCATGGTGGAAGAGGATTCCAAAGAAAATATTTCCAGGCACAAAAGCAAAAAAAAAAAAAGGAATACTAATATTATTAGGAACTACCTAAAATTAGTTATGGGTCAGCTGTGACAGTGGTTCGAGTTTAGAGAGTTTTTATATTTACTTGGGAACTGCTACACATAGAAACAGTAGGTCCGAGAATGTATTATGTCATTTGTCACCAGAGTGCTATCCCATATACATTTTTCTTAGCTATCTGAAATCCAGATACCTGCATAGGTACATGCATCGCATGTGTAGCTTGCTCTCTGCTTTGGCAGGTAAGGGTCAATGCCTCTGTGCATTCCATAGGGAAGCCCTGAAAATATGCAAATGTCCAAAACTTAATCTTGATCCTATTTATTATTTATTGGCCCAGTCATGGCACTCACCTCCGCATATGAGGCAGATGGCGCTGAGGAGTCCTGTTTCAGCATCGTCCATCTCAAGTGGCAGCAGCTGGTTGGCAAAGGCAAAGACCAGGTCTGTGAGGGGTCCAAAGCCTGCATTATGCATCTGAGTGCGGTTGAGGGTCAGGCCATCAGAAAAGGTCATAGTGTCCTGCTCTGGTGTGTAGCGTGTGCATATCCGAAGGATCTGTGATGGAAAGTATGTTAGAGGTATGCATCGCAGTTGTTCCCCATCATTTCTACGTTCTACCTGTAACATTCAGTGTGTAATATATTACTGCAATATTCAGCTGCAGGACTTGTACTATTGTTAGACTGAGTACGTCATCTGTTTGGGTGGCAGATCTCTGAGAAGACACAATCGCTACCTTTCAAACAATCCTCTTAACATCCTGGCCACTCTGTTCTGCTGGACATTGTTATGTATGACCCAATACCTGTCCTGAGCTCTTAAATTAATTTATTACTGTAAGTATGATGAACAGCACTTTTTGTTTCTTCCTAGCGTTTTCTCACAAGTGCAGGGTCTGCTTTTTTTTTTAATCAACCAAGTATTGATCCACTGGTTATGAGAAGAGTGATTGGCCCAAAGCTACCCCGCCATCTTTTCATGCCTAAGGCAGGTTATAACTCAATGTCCTCATTCTTCCTAACCTAACGCCTTGCCCACTAGACCAAATTGGTTCTCCCAATAATGTTTATATATGTAAGAAATGGGGATAGGGGACCACCATAGCTTTCTCCTTCAGCCTTGGGCTGATCCTGTGAAAGTATGGCTACAGTGCTAATTAATTCCTACTGCTCCATAATTCTATATATTTCCTCATTTTGCTTAATTGCTGAGCTTTGCTTGAAAAGGAAAAGGTCCCATTTACTTACCAAGATGTCGAGGCAGGCTGCTTTGAGGAGTGTGATCTGGTCAGCAATTGTGAGTGTGGTAAAGCCTGGCAATTGCTTGGCAAATTCAACTGTCTTGATGATGCACTTTGTGGACAATTCACTGAATTTGTCCCACAGATCAATGTCAAGAGATATCCGTTGATCTGAGCTGTTGTTCTATTGGAGACAGGGCAAAAGAAAAGGAGTTGCATTTTACAGAATAAGAATGGCTGGATTTGTTTTACAGCAGTAAACCCATATGCCTGAATCCAGAATTTGATACTAGCTTATGAGTAATATAGTTATTTGTGTGACATGAGAAAGGCAATACTTTCTTTTCATGATTTCCTGAGTTTATTTTGTAACTACACCAGTGCCAGATAAACACAGTTAAAAGGGAGAAAAAGCAGACAAGGAATTGGCTAAACAAGACACAATTATATTGCTTATCTAAAAAATTGACTTGAATTTGTTCAATGATTTAGGCCTATAATAAATCAGGGCTTAACATGATCTATTAAAGTGGAAATTTTAAAAAAATGTTTCCCAGGTCCTTTCTGGTGGTCCAGATATTTTGTCTCCTCATGGAATAAACAGCTTTATTCCATGAGTAGATAATCAATCAATCAGTTCTGAGCTGCCTATTCTCCCCTTCAAAATTGTTCCCCCCAAAAGCTTCCTGTAGTCGTCTTCTGGCTATATCATAACTAATTCTTACATATTAAATAAATTAAGTTTATATGGGAATAGTTAAGCCAAGTCTACCAACAGAAATGACAACCTCTGCTTTTACTTTCAAAAAACGTATGTTGAATCTCATCTTTAGTACATTCTATACAACCAAATGAACGGACAAGGTGATTTTTCATCTTTACTGTTAAAGATTTTTTTAATGTAGAAAATTGCCTAATGAAACCAAGAAAGCTATATAGACCATTTAGTCTAAACAGTAACATATTTTTTTATTTAGAGGATTGCTTATCTCTCCATTCAGAACATCTAAGACTTTGAATCCTGAATCATCTATTATTTTACAAATTTCTCTAAGGGGCTATAAAGGGTTGAGTGACAAGTGGTACCAATTCATCTGGAGTTTGGGAAAAGTTGTCCTGCTGAGCTTTCCCCACCCAGTCTTCTTTAGCCCTTATCTTGGCTGTCACTCACTGTGGTGTATTTCCCCAACTGGCAGAGGGCAGGGAAGGTCTCCTGGTGAGCCTTGCGCACTTTCTCGATGAGTTCCTCCACCTCAGGTGTAATGATGTAGCTCTCTGAACATTCCTGCTTTGGAGCATCTTTTTTCTTCTTGTTCCTATCATTCCGGACAGCTACAAAAGAAAGCAAAGGGACAACAAACAATTAAAAGCTTCAATGAGCAGGCAGCATCCATTCCTCAGGCAGATTTATAAAAATGATAGCAATAGCAATAAATACTTAAGACTTATACACCGCTTCACAGTGCTTTTTACAGCCCTCTCTAAGTGGTTTACAGCCCTCACCATATTGAGAGTCCCCAACAATCTGCATTCTCATTTTACTGACCTCGGCAGGATGTAAGGTTGAGTCAACCATGAACCTGGTGAGATTCAAACTGCCAAATTGCTGGCAATCAGTAGTCAGTAGAATTAGCCTGCAATACTTGCATTCCAACCACCACACCACTGATTATGATGATACAGTTAATATAACATATAACAGGGATTTCTGGAATCAGATAATCAATTCTGAAAACAGAGTTAGTGGCACTAGCAATAAGTGGTTAGGAGATTTGGCAAAAGGAAGCCATGTCCTGCTTTTCTGCAAATGGTAGCAATACAGCTAATGCAACTTTATTTTTCCTTTTCAAAAAATATACAAACTTCTCACCTTGGTTTTGGTTGCTGATCATTTGGGAATCTCATTCCACCTCCCCGCCTTCATTTTTATTACACAGTCAACGATCCTCAAAAATTACTAATTTTTATTAATGGCACTTCCTATCCAAAATGTACCTGATTTAATTTACACCTCAAAAATAAAGAGATGCCAAAAGATAGTTTCCCAACCTGGTACTCTCCAGATGGAATAAAAACTTTTCTTCTCAACAATACCGGTCATATTGGCTGGAAATTATGGAAGTTGTAAACTACTCAGTACCAAGTCAGGTGTCAAGCACAGAAACTCAGGAAACTGACAGTTCAAATGAATATATAGTTTCTTATATGCTTAAACTCCCTACAAGAATCTGACCTACTAATGGTCAAAGCAAATCGGCAGCAGGTAAGATTCAATAGAATTCAAGATATTATCCAGATAGTTGGGAATATTTAAACACTGACTGAAAAAGAAAAGAAAACTGTATTCCTGAAAGAGTACAGAGAAAAGGCAAAGAGAAGGAAGAACAACCAAGTTGCTGAGTTAGGAAGAACTAAATGGGAATGCAAGTTGATAGAAAGCAGTAGGGGTCAGAGGACAAAAGAAGCTATGTGGCATTTGCAAGAAGGTGCTGAAATGGAGATTTAAAATATGCATTTAAAAGGGAATGTTGAAAGGAGAAAAAGTCCCAGGCCAATTGTGCATTCCTAGAATCTGAATACTAGTTAAGTAGAAAATTGGAAAAAATTTCCCATATTGTGTAGAAGCAAGTTTAGTAAAGGAAGGATAGAACAAAATGGAATATATTTATACGTCAGAAGGAATTTCACCCAGAGAGAAAAAAGTAATGGATTTTTTTTTAATCGCCATCTTCTCTGGAAGAAAGAATCAGACTTGGAAGCACAAGACAAAAGCATGCAGCAAATATTCCCTAGGACTGTTGGTTCCCAAGAATTTAAATATCATTGTTAAGAGGGCTGCAGCCATCAAAAATAGTAAAAGACTGCTTTGTTCACCTCTTGTGAGTTACCTAAATATTTCCAATCTACTAACAACAATTCTTCTTAGTCCCAAACCAATACATACTGCCATGATGTGCTCCAAGTAACATTAAACACAAGTTACTAGTGAAACATTATGTTAAACGGGAAATAAAACTATTTGTTGCATATTATTCCAAACTAAGAATATAAGCAAATAATCCATCCAATCCACCAAAGTATTCTATTTATAAATCAATAATTTGTGTCTTTTATTATAAGTTTCAATGCCCTAGAAGAAGTGGAGAAAACAAAAATGTGATTTTATGATACCTATGCATGCCAAATATGCTCGAATGAAAGCTGAGGCAATAAAAAAGAAATCTCAAAGATAAATATAATCTTATACAGTTCTGAGAGATTCCTTATTCCCATATTTTTTTGAATTATTCTGATTCCTTATTCAATTCCAAATTGCCAGAGCAGCACTTGAAAAACAATAACAATTACCACATTGATCATAAAAAATAAAACAAGAACTAAAATATATAAATTTAATAACAATCTAAGTGTGCCTTCAAACTATTAACATAAAAGTCAGCAAACATCATTAAAAGCATTCTAATGAATGCTGAAATTTTAAGAAGCCATTGAAATGTTAAATAAGCCTTCAGTAGATAAAGGTATTCCAGGATGTGAGCACTACCTGATAGAATGTACACCTTATGCTTCTGGATTCAAGCACAATTAATAGCTCCATTTTCCAGAGGAGATCAAAGGGATCCAGGAGGAATAACTGGAAGGAGGCCTTTCCAAAGTATACAGGTTACAGAATTCAGCCTAGAAGCAGCTCAATACCCAATGCCAGAATATGAGATTGCTGTCCAGTGTGCATACCAGGAGACACGACTCAGCACTCAAGATTAAAAGCAGCAACTGTCAAGCCTTCTTCCAAAGTCTTCCCCACATACTACAGCAGGGGTGTCAAACTCATGATGAGTTTGACACCCCTGCTGTAGTATGTGTGGAAGATTGTCAGATGACATATCACAACTTTTTCCCCTTTGCTAAACCAAGCATGGGCGTGGCCAGCGCATGACGTATCCGGCCCACGGGCCACGAGTTTGACACACGTGCCAAAGCACACAGTAACAAAAGGACTAAGGAAATATTTCTATTAATTTATACAAACCAAAGAGACCTTTAGTTTGATAGAATTCTCTCCTCACAGTTATCCTAGAAGGGAAATCTATAAAATCCCACATACTGCCCCTGTGATATGGGTACCATAGAAACTACAGTTCCTTTCTTCTGTATTGTCAGTTCTACAGGGACATTCACCACTAACTGATTATCCCTCTTTCCTTTAAATTTATGGGGCACCCTGATAATGTTTATCTGTTAAACAACTGCAATAAATTTATCTCTCTAAAGTAGGGAAATACTGCTATATTATGTGTAAGCTTTGCCCACAAATAACTGCAATAGTTGTTGTTCTGGGGGAAGTTGAGATAGTCATTTTACTGAATGTTCCTTTTTTGATCAATGACCAAAATAAAGTTTCTGTCTGTCAGAAAGAAGTTATTACTTCCAGTCCATTATAGTTACATGATAATTCAGCAGTAAAGGAAGGAAGGAAGGAAGGAAGGAAGGAAGGAAGGAAGGAAGGAAG